TGTTGCCCTGCTTTACAGAATGTCAGGAAGTTATGATGTGTGCAGAGTGTTTAGGGGCTTATATGTACTTCTGGTTACCTAGAAAACAGCTAGAGAAATACAGTGGCCAAATTTAGATTTTATTGAAAATGTTTTCAAGAACCAGGCATAGGGCTGGGAAGTTAGCTCAGTGGTTTCACTGCCTGCTGCACAAGCGCAAGGACCAGAGTTCGATCCCTGGTACCAAAAAAACAAAAAACCAGGCATAGTGGCCCACACCTATAATCCCAACACGAAGGAGGCTGAGGCAGGAGGATCTGGAATTGAGGCCAGCTTGTACAACAGTGAGACCTGATCTCAAAAACAAATGAACAGGGCCGGGGATTTAGCTCAGTGGTTCTGCCTCCTGTCTCGCAAGTTCAAGGTCCTGAGTTCAATCCCCAGTACCAAAAAAAAAATGTGAATAGCTCCTGGGAGCTTATTACACAGTATATAGTTCTCAGGGTTGTTTTGTTTAGTTGTCTTTGTTGGTTTAGGTGGCCATAAGAGAAGACCAAGTCTGGTGACCTACACAGCACTCCCTGCTCACAGATGCATGATGCAGGTCGATGAGGTCGGCGCCCCTACTGACCTGCACATGGTTGCCTTCCACTGTGTCCTCACATGCTGCATAACAGTCTCTCTCTCTCTCTCTCTCTCTCTTTCTCTCTCAAATGTTGAGACATGTCCTCACTATGTTGCTCAGGGTGGTCTCAAACTTGCAATCATCCTGCTGACTCCTGAGTAGCTAGGACTATAGGCACATGCCAGCACACCTGGCAGAAACTAACACCTTATAAAGGCATCAATCTCATTACTGAGGGCTCCACCACTATGACCTAATTACCTGCCAAAGGTCCCACCTCCTAATATGGTCACCTTAGAGGTTAGGATCTCAACACCTCAATGGGGTGGGACACGCTCAGTCCATATGGTAACACTGACATCAATAAATGTGAATTATACTTCTTTGGAAAAATTTTTTTCAAGGGTCTTTGCACTACATCCCCAGCTCTTTATATTAGTTTGAGACAAGATTTCTCTGAGATGCAAAATTGCCCAGGTTAGGCTCCAACTCATGATCCCCAGGCTCAACCTCTCAGAGGACTAGGGTCACAGGTGTGTGCCACCATGCCTAGCTTCAGGTGTGACCCCTACTACTTATAGGAAAAAGTTTTAGATAACTTAGTAGATTGAACATTAAGGTAGTTGTAGAAGCAAAATAAGTAATGTGTTCCTTTAAGATTTGCTTTTCCGGGTCTGGGGATTTAGCTCAGTGGTTCCACTGCCTGCCTCGAAGGTGCAAGGTCCCAAGTTTGGTCCCAAAAAGATTTGCTTTTCCTGTAACTCTCATTGTTTAAGGTGACTGTAATCTGACTCTTTAAGCAGTAACTTCATTAACCTAACAAAGTTGCAATGCCTGGGTGAATTTACAATGTATATGTGCCTATCTGGTGTCTTTGACTTGTAAATAGGAACTAGAATTGTATTTAAACATCAATGACCACTAGGGATGAGATAATGGCTAAAAAGGATATAAAAAGGGAAACACTGAACAAGGGGGCTGGCAGATATTAACCAGACCAGTTTCTGGTGGTCCCACCCACTTGCAGGAAGCAGAAATTTTATTATTTTACCCAAATTCTGTATCTCCATGTATTTCTTTCTGAGATTTCTGGAGCACTACAAAGATATTTCAAACTCTCTTTGAAATACTGCTGGCATACTTCACAATTTGGAAGTTACAAGGAAAAAAAAGTTGAAAAAATAAAGGTAAATTTTTTAGTGAAACCATTGCAACCATCCAAAATGATACATTATTGTTAAAGTGTCATATTTAGGCTGAGTGTGGTGGCATACATCTGTAATCCCAGCACTTAGGAGGCTGAGGCAGGAGGATGAAAAGTTTGAGCCAGCCTGGGAAATTCAGTGAGAGTGTATCTCAAGAAATAAAAGGCTGCTGGGGATGTAGCTCAGCAGTGCAGCACCTGTGTGGCAAGCAGAAAGTCCTGAGCTCAATTCCCAGTACCAAGAAAAGAAAAGAAATAAAAGGCCCAGCACAGTGGCACACACATGTAGTCCCAGCACTCAGGAGGCTGAGGCAGGAGGATTGCCATGAGTTTGAGACCAGCCTGGGTTGCATAGTGAGTTCAAGGTCAGCCTGAGCTACATAGTGAGATTCTGTCTAAAAAAAAAAAAAAAAAAAAAACCAAGAAATTTCAAAAGGGTCATGGATGTAGGTCAGTGCAAAGGCCTGGGTTCAATGTCCAGTACCACATGCACACACACACACACACACACACACACACACACACACACTCAAAGCACTTTGTATAACTGGATTCTCTGAATCAAAATCAAACTTTTGTGAGGGTGTGGCAAGTATGATTTCTTTTCATAAAAAATTAGGTTAGGTTTGCTAACAAGTAATGGGTGTATTTATTGTTACTTTTAAAGAGTTTATAATCATTTGCTAAATTTGTTTTAATTTCTAATATGATTAAATATTATTGGTCATCACATACACAAATATGATGTCCTCAATCTTTTTTTTTTGTACCAGGGATTGAACTCGGGTCCTTAAGCTTTCGAGGCAGGCAGCAGAACCACTGAGCTAAATCCCCAGCCCTGTCTTTGATCATTTTTAAGAGTAGAAAAGGATCCCAAGACGGAAACATTTGAGATCTCCTGCTCTATGAACAGATGCATTATTCCCAACACAAGCTTAAAGAACTGAAAGAAGGTCCAGAAGATATGGTATAAAAAACAAGCCACCGTAGTGCCTATAACACCAGCACTTTGGGAGGCCGAAGCAGGAGGATCAAAAGTCCAAGCACAACCTGAGCAATGTAACTTCTTAGAGAGGCCATACAAAAAATGAAAAGGTCTGGGAATGCAGCTCCGGGCAAATGAGGCAGGAGAGTTGGGCGTGGCCAACTGACTCAGCAAGTGGGTGTGGCCTCTCAATCATGGAGATCCAGAACACATGCGCAGAAAACAGTTCCCGCTGGGATCAATCAGAAAGTGTTAGTTCAAGTCTTCTGGCAATGAAATCAAGTAGGTTTTTTTTTTTTTTTTTCCGGTACCGGGGATTGAACTTGGGTCCTTGCGCTTGTGCAGCACGCGGCGAAACCACTGAGCTAAATCCCTGGCCCTCAAGCAGGTTTTTGATAGGATGGCCTAGGACTGATGTCAGCCTGAAGAAGGGTGATAACAAAAGCTTCCCATTAATCTTGTGGTCACTGGGAGCACTCTTGATGGCTCATTCTCTGCAGAGCACACTTCTTTTCCTACCTTTAACAAATGCAGGGCCAGGGATTTAGCTCAGTGGTTTCACTGCCTGCTGCCCAAGCGCAAGGACCCAAGTTCAATCCCCAGTACCAATAAATAAATAAATAAATAAATAAATAGATGCAAAGCCTTGCTACCTTTTTTGCATGTCTTGTCCTATTCTTTGTTCAGGAGACCAGGTATTGCAGATGGGTAAGTTAATTAAATATCTTGTAGGCAGTTAGACAGAGCTGGCCCTGGAGGTACCAACATGGAGGACAAAGGAGCCAACATGGAAGACAGTGGAGGAGCCAACAGGGAGGACAATCAAGACGCATTCACTGAAGGCCAGCACTGTAAAAGGAGAGAAACTACCACACTCACATAGGATAAATAGCAGTGATTGATATTCTAAATATGTGTCAATCACCTGAGTGGGAGACAAAGATCTTCCAAGAAAAATCCCTGACCCACCCCTTACCACCGAAAATCCTTGCTACGTGACTTGTTTCCTCATTGGATTCCCATTCAATCAATATTACCTAAGCAACTGTACTTGTAATCTTACTAGTTGACTACAGTTTTGTCCCACCTTGAACCTGCCTCACCTTGTGGCTTTGTCCCATAAAACACCTTTGAAAAGCAGGGTGAGTGGGCAACCCACTTTCCCATCCCCCTTCTATTCTCTCTTAGACAGAAGCTATCTTTCTCTCAATAAATTTTACTACTCTTAACCTCTATTGTTCCTAGAATTCATTCTTCGATTTTAGAGAACATGAACTCACATTTTAGATATCTAGTAGGTTTGGAAGTTACATCTATTCCCCCTGTATCACAGGGACCTGGAAAGAATCCCTGAAAGTCTACAGCACCCCAGAACCCAGTAATATGGAAGCCCTGGGTTCAGTCTCCAGTACCTCAAAAAAGCCACCAGGCACAGTGGCTCATGCCTACAGTTTTATCTACTCAGGAGGCTGAAGCAGGAAGACCACAGTGAGCCCAAGAGTTCAAGGCCAACCTTGGCAACATCAAGAGATCCAGTCTCAAGTCAAAAAGCGGAGCCTGGTGCCATGTGATTTGCCTTCCATTCAGCTCTGTGAGCTGGATACTAACCTGGGTCAGAAATGGACATAACTGGAACTCTACTGTATTAAAGCAAGTTGGGCAACAGAATGTGCATGTTCTTTAAATTTCTTAGGGCATCTACTTCTTTTCACTCGCTATGTAGTTCAGGCTGCCCTTGAACTCACTATGTAACTCAAGATGGCCTCAAACCTTCGGTGATCCCCCTGCCTCGGCCTCTCCAGTGCTCCGCCTGAAAGGAGAATCTTGCCTCCGTGGTTCAAGCTGGACTTGCTACAGGAGATTCCCCGCTTGAAATTTTTCTTTGTTCAACATGTCCCAGCCAACTTCCACATCTCAGGAATGTCTTTGTCTCTGGAGTAGTTTTGTCATTTTGCCAAAATGAAATATCAACCTCATGCTTAAATACCCAATAAGCTTGCTGGTAATATTATGTACAAACTAATACCACAGTTGAGCCCACCTGCTAATGCATATTTGAACTCTGTAACCAATAAATGTATACTAGATGTGCCTTGCTTGTAACTGCCCCCTCCCAGAAAGTATATCACTCTTGATCAAGCGCTGGACAAAGACCAGTCTCCTGTGAGCGAATGCAGGCTAGCCTGTCGGCATAAATAAAGCCTTACTTTCACTTTGTCTCCGAGGCTCCTGGTGTGCTTTCCATCCTCTCGGACTAGCAGCAACGAGCTCACCAATCGGACGGAGAATTGCCGTTTCATGTGGGGGCTTGTCCAGGATGGATCCACTGCACTGATGGTTTGATCATCAGTCGTAACCCTGGGGTGGGGGCAGCGACCCTCCCCAAATCCGTGTGGACAAGGCGCAGCTCTTTGAGGTTTATCCGAGTCTCTCCAGGGCTTGGGAACGCCCTCTGTCCACCGCGTGGGGGTCGCGGAACCCAGAGGAACGAAGAACCCATTGTTCGGTTGATAATCAGTGGACCGAAGTAAGCCCCCGGGGCCCTCTCCCGGTTAGCTCTGGTTCTGGTTTGTCCGCTCTAACTTGGGGCACGGGGACTTGATCAACCCCCGTAAGCATTCCCGTTTGATTTGGGTTAGGAGAATGCTTATTCTGCCTGGTCTGGATTCTGTTCAGTCAGGACCCTGGCGGGGGCGGGGGGGGGGGCGTTTAAACTGTGTATGTTTGATGTGTGACTCGATGCTTGTAGCGATCAGTGAAATAAATATGTTGGACCTCGTCCCCGAATTAGATTAGCGACGAACTCTCAAAGCACGACACAGTCCTGGGATCTTACTGGAGAACTTTATTTTCCCGCCAGGACCCATGTACACTCCAACCAAGTGGGAGGACAAAGGCCCCAACTGAAATGAGGACTGCATATTTAAAGGGAAAAACCACAGAAAAAGTCCCTCCTCCCATTCCGCTGGGTTACGGATTTTTGCAGAAGCTGGTTACAGAAGCCAAGATAAGCACAGTTAGTCCTTCCCATTCCTCTGGGTAACGGTTTGTTGCAGATCACCTGAAAACAGTTTCTGTTTATCGGTTAGGTGTGGGGTTTTCTTCCGAGAGACAGAGTGCAGCTGGAAGTCACATATTTGCAAAATGGAGGAGAATGTTTTCAACATGGTGCTGGTTTTGCTAAGTTGGGTCTCACAAAATAGACTGATTCGCCTGTGGCCCACGACGAAGGCCAGGGTCCCCCCCTTACTGGCTTTGATTGGGGTCAGACTGCGATACTGTGAACGTGTCTAGCAAGGCTGAGTGGATGCTCTCGAGACGAGAAACTCATCCTAGTGCCCGGATGGTTCCTAAGGTGGCCGAGAAGCCCACGGCCAGCCGACAAACATATGGCTCCTCTGAGAGGAGGGGCGCCCCAACCCTTTGTCTGTCCTCGACTCCGCTCAAGGGTGCACTGTACACCGCAGCTCCCATGTCCGGGAGGCTGCTCTGTCCAAGTCCGTGGTTTTTCTCAAAGCTCTTGGAGCTTCTAAACCTGGAGATGATCTCACTCATCCATTGCTTATCTTACCGACCTTCGCAGTGTCCCTTCTGTGCCAGGAGGTCACTACTGGGACGAGGCAATTGGGAAGTACAGGGAGAAACACTTCATCTCCCCATACTTCTTAGCCCTGTCTCTGGACCAAAGCGCTCTGATTGGGACATAAGGTGCGCCTTTGTTCTTTGGAACCGCCCACACTTTGGTTCCTGCCTCTCGGTCCACCTCTTTTGTCATCCTGCCTCGATTCCTCATCTGCTTCCTCCATATCTGCCGGAGGAACACTATGTCTGGGGCCCGCTTCAGTGACGCCATTTTACGGATTATAGGCTCAATAGGAGTCTCCCCAAGTTTGTTCACTGGCTTTTTCCCCTTGATACGATTGAGATTTTGGACAGGTACTTGAATCCAAACAGGAGGGGTCTATGGCATTGTTGCCCAGCTAGCCCATTTAACTCCCCAACCAATCAACCTTTGAGCTTACTTGATTTGTCCCTTGAGGCACTGTTGAAACCCCTGAAGCTGGAACTCTATTGCCTATATTTTGCCTTTCGGGAGTGGAATCACCAGAAAAGCAAGGCTGGCTGAAGGAGGTATAGGGAACAGCTCCGGCTCAAGTCATCTTCCCCCAACTCAGATCCCCACCCTACTGAAAATTGACAGGCTGATAAATTTGCCCAACAGGGGTCGGATGCAAGGCTAACCATGGATGTCTGTTTTACTGTTCAGACCCATCTCTCCAGATTTTGAGTTAAGATTTTTACGACTGTGTAGATAAAGGGGTCAGACTCCCTGCGGTTGCTGATAATCACCGGCCCATGGAGTCCCTTGACTCTTTCTGCTCTCCCTCAAGGAGCCCCAATTCCCAGTGGGACCTATCTGTTTAGTCTTGTACTGGGACTTTTCTGTCTCTATAAGGAGGGACTGAGAACACTTGAGCTGTAGAAATAAGATGGGAGCCGCAGACACCTTTGACTCCCTCTCTCTGAAACAAATTATCACCGAAATAATGGCCCCTACTTTATTGACATAACTCACTAACTTGTAGCCTTGTTCATTAGAAGCCCTTCCCTCCTCTTTCCCTCCTCTCAGACTGTTTTTCCTAAACTTCAGGTCCACAGGAACTGCACTCCAACCGCTGGAAAGCTTTTGGAGGCCTGCTTCCTATATTTTGTATCACGCAGCACTGTTCACTTGTGCACCACATACATTGAACACCATGGGTGCTAGCCAGACTAAGCCTGAGCCTACTGTATTGGAGTGTATATTAAAAATTTTCAAAAAGGGGTACTCCACTGGAGGCTATGGAGTAAAAATGAAACCCCCCAAATTTCTTACCTTCTTCGAATTGGAATGGCCAGCCTTGTGTCCCAAGTGGCCTTCAGAAGGGATTTTAAAAATTGATCTAAGAGGCCAGGGATTTAGCTCAGTGGTTCCGAAGCCTGCCTCACAAATGCAAAGACCCTAGTTAGGTCCCTGATCCCCCCCGCAAAAAATTGATCTAGTCCGCCTGGTATGGGACAAGATAACTGAACCAGGGGATCACCCTGAGCAGTACCCTTATATAGACACCTGGCTAAATTTGTGTATGAAACCTCCACCTTGGCTTTGTGCAGGTGTAGCAGGGGAACCAAATGCTATTCTGCTGGTAAAGAGAGACCAAGACAGACCAAAATGTAATGATCAAGGGTCTGAGTCTAAGAATGAGGGAAAGCAGGAAAAACCTAAAAGATGTTATCCCATCCTGACAACGGATGAAAACGAAGAGCCCATGAGGGCCCCACCATATGTGTCACAGCCACCAGCTTCTGCATCAGCCCCTCCTCCCTGGAGCCTTTTCCATCACCACCAGCTACAGGCTTGCCCTCTTCTGTCTCATCCCCTGAAGGGATTCATTCACCAAGTGGACCTGCCTCACTCAGTATAGGACCCATTCCAGATCTGATCATGACTCTAACTGTTCCTAGAGAAGATGAATGGCAGTTACATCAGGCTGAATTTCTCCCTTTTGAAAATCCTGAGGCCTTAAAAGCTGTTTCCCAAAGTATGGGCAGAAGGGGCCCCACCAGGGCTTGCCAGGAATAATGAATGCTTCTTTAATCATTGAGTTGAAGCCAAATGCTGTTCCCACTGCCATTAAACAGTACCCTATGCCAAGAGCTGTCCGCCTAGGGATTCAACCTCACATTGATCATCTATGGAAGTTTGGAATCCTAATGGACTGTGAGTCTCCATGGAACACCCCATTACTCCTAGTAAGAAAACCAAATGGAGATTTCTGACCTGTACAGGACCTCCGTGGTATCAGTAAAGCCACAATAACTCTACACTCAGCCATCCCCAACCCATATACACTCCTATGTCTCCTTCCTCCAGAAGCTGCTTGGTTCACTTGCCTAGACCTAAAAGATGTCTTCTTCTGCTTACAAATTGTACCTGAGAGTCAGCCATTATTTGCCTTCTAATGAGAGGATCCTGACACTGGAAGAAAAGGACAAGTTACTTGGACTAGATTGCCACAAGGGTATAAAAACTCTCCTACTCTATTTGGAGGAGCACTTGCAGCTGATTTGACTAATTTCCCATGCAAGACTATGACTGCACTCTGCTGCAATATGTGGATGACTTGCTACTCTGTGCTGCTAAACAAGATCAATGCTGGGATGGAAGCTGTGCCCTGTTAGCCACCTGCAGGAGGCTGGATACAAGGTTTCATGGGGCAAGGCCCAAATTTGTAAATCTAAAGTATGATACTTGGGCTTTGACCTGGAAAGAGGACTGAGGCAGTTGGGACCAGCGCAGAAGGAGGTCATATGCTCCATACCTAGGCCTAAAACAAAGAAACAGCTAAGAGTGTTTTTTGGGAGCTGTGGGATTCTGCTGCATATGGATTCCAGGCTTTGCCCTACATGAAACGTTGACTGGAGACAAGAGTGAGGCTGTACCACTAGAATGGACTCTCGAGCAGGACCAATTTTTCAAGGGTCTTGAGGTTGCCCTCTCCTCTGCTCCAGCTATCATACTCAGAATGGCCAGAAGCATTTCCCACAAGAACAGAAAAGGCAAATGATGTATGTCGTGCCCTGCTTAAAGAGATTATACCTAGATATGGGGTACCCCTTATGATGGGGAGTGATAATGGGCCTGCATTTGTGGCAGAAATAACCCAAAAACTGGCAGATGCCTTAAAGATCAAATGGAGACTACACACTGCCTATAGGCTCCAAAGCTCAGGTAAGGTATAAAGAATGAACCAAACCCTGAAGTCCATACTCACTAAGTACCACCAGGAGACACAACTTAGTTGGATAAATCTGCTCTTGATGGTGCTTCTAAAGGTATGAAGTTCACTTGGGCCCACTGGTTTTATTCCATTTGAGGTCCTAAATGGGAGACTCCCGCCCATCATTAGGGAGCTGGAGGGGGACTTGAGACAACTGGGCAATAGGTATGTATTAGAACAACTTGTCCAATTAGGAAAGGCTTTCACACAGTTACATGAAAACATATCAGAAAGGGTGGCCATACCTACAGATACACCTGCACATACATATAATCCTGGTGATATGATTTGGGTGAAGGACTGGAAAAAGGAACCATTACAGCCCTTATGGAGGGGGCCTTTATATGATCATTTTGACCATGCCCACAGCTGTCAAAGTCTCTGAAATTCAGCCATGGATACATCACTCCCAGGTCAAAAGGGTGTATCCTGATGACTCCTGGGAGACACACCTCGATGAGGAAGACCCACTGAAAATCAAGGTGAGGAGACAATGTACTCAAAGCTCTGCTCCCATCACTCTGGAAGCTGATGGGTCAACACACAGCTGAAACCTGAGGGTCT